ACACAGTCCATGAATAACCTTTTGGCGCAGAGTTTCCATTTGAAGGATAAATACGGGTCTGGATACATTGTTGAAGCGGATTTTACAATTTTCAGTGTTTCGCCATATTTATCTTAACCTCGGAGTGACGTAAAATTGACAAGTTGACTGTTATTCCTGATTCATACTACATAAGAAATTTACTATACAGAGTGTCATGACCCGCAAAAAGAAAAGACGAAGAAGAGAAGAAGAAAAAGAAAAGCCTGAGAATGCAAAATACTGCATCACAGATGAAGAAAAGGAGGAAATAATTCGTCAGCTCAATAACGAAATTAAAAAAAAGAGCAGCAGCTGTCAGTAACCGCAAGTATTACTGAGAACGATGCCATAGCATCAGCATTAAATAGAATTAACATGAGATTAGACGAAGTTGAAAACAACCAGTTAGTAAAAGAAAATTCATACGCACAAATCTTAAAACAAACGATACCTATTACTAAAAGGCAATCACTGAAATGCATCACAGTTATTCCAAAAGAAAAACAATCTTGCGATAATACGAGAAGAGAATTGAGTAAGAGAATAAATCTTTCATCTCTGAACATTCAAATAGAAAGTGTGAGAAACTCAAAAAATGGCGGAATTGATATAAAAATTGATGAATCAAACATAATAAACTGAAAGATGAACTTCAAAATAAATTGAATGAAAAATACCAAGTTACTGAGCCGAAAATGTTAAATCCAAAAATTAAAATAATAAATTATAAAAGTAGTGAGAAACCGAATGAAAAGCAAATTGAAGAAGATCTTATACATCAGAATTATATGATTCAGAGTGGAGACATACAAGTAAAGTTTATCAAATATTTTCCATCAAGAAACAATTACACTATCTACGCGGAAACTTCTGGAAAGCTATTCAAAAAAATCTTCGAAGACAATAATAGAAGAATACTTCTGGGATGGCAATGTTTGACAGTATATCAAAATAACGACATTTCTCAGTGTAGAAAATGCTACCGTTTTAATCATACAGAAAAGAATTGCAGGAATGAGAAGATATGTGCCAACTGTGGCAACGGTCACGAAGGAGAAAATTGTAAGCATGTATCAATAGAATGCTGGCAACTGTAGATATGGAAATGAAAGATATAAAAAAAATTATAATATTAACCACACACCTACCGACAAAAACTGTCCATCGTACAAATATTATCAAAACAACAAACTTAAGGATACTTTTTTAAAATTCAAGTTCATCTTTTACTACTCCTATCTCTAGAGAGGACCTAAAAATGTCAGTAAATAAATACATTAATGATTTCCAAATTCCAAGTATTGCAACAAATATAGCACAAAACGTCGATGAACTTAATTTATGTACACAAAATTCTGATGCAAAATTTCGAATTTTAATATGAACATAAGGAGTATAAAACACAACATTGATTACTTAAAAATACTACTCGACCAAATATGGTACAATTTTTATCTAATAGTTTTAAACTGAAACGTGGCAAGTGGTTGATATTCCTTGCTTCAATCAGCAGGGATATGACACGCTGTATAACTTTGGTACTTATAACCAAAACGATGGGGGTGATAGTTTTGTAAGAAATAACTGCAATATAATCATGATACATTCACTTTCACCGATGGAATCAAATTTTAAACATAATGATCAAATAACCATAACAAAATTGAGGTATCTGCAATTTATCGTCCGCCATGTTCAGAACCCCACGAGGTTTTTGAAGAATATCGAATTTTTTTTTTCAAATCAAAATAAAGTTCATTTAAAGCAACATATTTTCTTGGGAGATGTTAATATAAATATTTGGACGATGATCCCATCACAAATGAATACTTGAATATCCTATCAAGTAACGGATTTCTGGTCCTATATAAACCTACCTACAAGGTCCATCAGTGGCACATGTATAGATCACTGCTTTGTGAAAGACCTATCCAACAAAATTACTTGTATACCAATAATCCTAGAAAGCGATATTACTGACCACTTCTCCACTATTTTACTGATATCTTCAAATGAAAAACATTCTAACATCCCTTAATACACCGTAATAACAACCAGGAAAATTAAAACTTTTTTGTCGACAATTCAAAACTAATATCAAGAATGTCAAACAAGAATCCTGGGAACAATTATACTCTATAAATAATATAGACAAAGCAACGGACTGTTCATAGAGAAAATAAAAAAACTAATAGATATTAGTACCAATAAAGTAATAATTAGTCACAAAGAGAAAAGCAGAAATGCCTGGATTACCAAAGGATTAATAACATCGGCAACAGAAAAAGAAAGGCTATATAATGTAATGAAACTAACGCCAACTACAGAGAATACCGACTGCTACAACCAATATAAAAATAAATTTATAGAGCTTGCAAGGCAAACCAAACGAAAACAGTACCTAAATAAATTGAGTAATAACTTAAATGACCCTAAGCGGCTTGGACAACTATTGATGAGATTACTGGCAAAACAAAATTTGAAGAATGTGTCACTGAGTTAAATACAACATCGGGAACAGTATTAAAAAATACTCAACAGATATGTGATGAATTTGTACAATTCTTTACTGACATAGGCGAAAATTAGCAAGTAATATACAGCAAATGTTAAAATACTCAGCCTCCAAAAAGAACTTTGAACTCATTTATTTTGGATAAAGTCGAGCAATGTGAAGTATACACCACTGTTATGTCCTTAAAAAATCGGAAAAGTCCTGGGTGGTTCGATGGTATTAAAAGCGAGCATTTGAAAATTATAGCCGAGGACATAACAGAACCACTCACTTACCTAAGCACAAATGCTTTGATCTGGCATATATCCCTCAATTTTAAAAAAAGGTAATATAATACCGATACATAAATCAGGAACAAAAACAGATGTTAACAACTATAGACCAATATCAATAATATCCAGTGTAGCAAAGGTTTTTGAAAAAGTTTTATCTACTAGAATGATTCGATACCTCACAAAATTCAAAATTTTAAGTGAAAATCAATATGGATTTTACAGAAGGGAAGGCTTACATCGGACGCAATAACTAAAATTGTAAATCAAATACATCAAAATATTGATAACAGAATCCCTTCAATCTGCATTTTTTGTTGATTTAAAGAAAGCTTTCGACACAGTTAATCACAAATTATTATTAGAAGCATTGGAGAGAATTGGTTTCAGAGGAAACGCGTACTCACTGATCGAAAGTTATTTGTCAAATCGCCCACAATCTGTGCAGATATCAGGATCACTTAGTAAAGAAATGTATATTAGTGTGGTGTCCCACAAGGAACTGTCTTAGGTCCGCTGTTATTCAATATATATTTAAATGATATTATTTCCAAATTAATTGTGTTGGCAAAATAACTAGTTTTGCAGATGATACTGCAATATTATATGAAGGCACTGACTGGTCTGATCTGAAAAATGTAATTGAAAATGATTTTATCAAATTATTCGGTGGTTTAACAGTAGAAAATTAAGCATTAACTACTCTAAAACACATTTTTTACCATTTGGATCTTATGCTAGACATCTGCCAAATTACACAAATTTCTCCTTCAATATTAATGATCAAAAAATGCAAATTAATAGAGTGCCCAACATAAAATACCTTGGAGTGGTCTTGGATCCTCACTTACGATGGGACATCCATGTCAGTTATATTTTAAAGAAAGTTAGATTTGTATCCTACAAAATTAAATACCTTGGGAATATATTGACAGAAAAATATCTTCGAACATTATACCATGCACTGATTGAGCCTCATCTCACATATGGTATATTAGCATGGGGAGCTGCATGTTCCTCACATATCTATAATTTAGATGTTTTTCAAAAAATATTCTAAAAATGATATTTAAAAAACCGAAACTTTATCCCACTGAAAATTATACGCAGATGTTCGAAGACAGCTTTATTTCTTACACAGTATCACTCACTACCATAAATTTGTAAACACCGACCAAAAAATTAAACATAATCATTATACCAGGTACAAAATTCGTGGCACAGTAGTTCCTGAACCGCATACACCTATAATGCAGCGATCATATCTCTATTTAGCGCCTGATTTTATGAAATTATACCTAAAGACTTAAAAGATTTACGTTTCGGAAATTGTTTCAAAAGAAATTTAAAAAGTGGCTACATTCTATATCTAGGACTGAAATTCATAAACTCATAAATACGAACATCAACTAAATACATAATCTACTGTAGCTAATTTTTGTCCTTTTTTGTCATTTGCATTCTACAGTTTCAACTTAAATTTATTGGTCCATGTACAGGCGATGCCTTCTATTGGGCCTGTTTTGATTTTATATTTATTTACTCATATTGTTTGTTATCTTTGTACATTGAGTGAACAAATATTATTATTATTATTATACCTATGACCCTTTTCCCTTGATTTTTGACCTAATGCACTTCTTCCTTATACAGCATCTACCTCTACCAGTACAGCTCTTCGCGCCCTCCAAATTCTTAGTGTCACCTATTTGGTTGTAAATATGCTCTCCATGTTATGCTTTTCGATCATTTCTTGTTTGGATTCTCTATTTAAACGTCTAAATCTTGTTCTTGTTCCATCATCTCCGTTTTGAAGTAGCTTTTGGTACAATTGATTTTGTTGTTTGATCTTCCATTGAATTTCGTTGTCCCCAATATGGTCTATTGTTCTCTCGATTCTCTCTTTCTAATGACTATGCTGCACCTTTAATACAAGAGTTTGTGTGCTCATATTCTTCCGCTGTGTTTTCGTCAACGTTGTTTCAATCCAGGAATAGAGTAACCGCGTACTTTCATCTTTCAAGCTGTCTAATCTGTATGTTACGCTTTCAATTTTGGCTACTCGATCGTCATTTCTTTGTTCTTCGGTTGTTGCAGGAAAAGGTCCGTACATTTTTCAAAGACAGGCAGTGCTCCCCGTATTTTTACGTCTTGCATTGTGAGTTTATAATTAAAATATTTTTTTCTTTCAGCCCGACTGTATGGTAGTCTGTTCCACAAGTTAATCTTGAAGGTGTTGCATATACTTGATACTCCGATAGAGTCCGTAGAAGAGCATACTTTTCTTGGAATCAACTACACTCTCAACGAGCTGTACATAAGGAATTCGAAACTGAAACAATTTCCTGTTTCGGCTATCAAGGTAAGTGACATTGAATCGTGAAATTGTAGAATAAAGTGGGTGTGACGCCTGTTGGTAGCCGTTTTGAATATTCTTGGGGAGAATGGATCGGAAAAAAGAACATTTCATTTTATTACTTAAAAAAAAGAATGCAATACTGATTGGTTTGTGGGATTAAAATCGGTTGGAAAGGGAATGGTTTTTATGGTTGCTAGTTGTCAATGGTGCTCCCATATAAATTAAAAGCTTACATAATCCGAGGTTTGTGAATCAGGTGATGAGATTGACTTTTTCATTAAAATATAATTACAATTTTGTCACTCTCAAAATTATTTCCTTCCTGGAGCCACTATCTGCTAGAGTCGGTTCTTTCACTCCTCGCCTTGAGCTGTTACAGCCGTTTGCATGTTTTCGACTGACCCACTTGAGCTGATTTTTAACTTCGGGAAGAGACAAAAGTCACAAAGACTCAAACCAGGCGAATGAAGAGGCTAAGGAGCCACAGGAATGTTTTGTGTGTGTCTATCCGAGCTTATAATGAAATATGGAACATTCCATTAAGAAAATTGGCAGAAACTGTTATTTTTCTGTTACCGCAGATACAGATAGATCCTTCCAAAATAATGATATTGGTATAATATACTATAACATTTTACTGATTAATTGTTAGGTTGTAAGCGATTCAAAGTGCAAAGCGTTCAACACTGAAAGGCTCGCAGACCGCTATTTTGAAAGGTAGTTATTTTATACTCTGGGGTTATGAAGTACCTATAAGGATTTACTTAACACCCCTTTCCATTTGAAAAAATGTTACAAAATTGCACCCAGCCTCCATCTTGATATTATCAACTGTTATTCATGCGTTAAAATATACGTCAATGCATCATTACCAATTTCAGCTTCCTAACTGGACCCTTTCTGAAAGGCACTGTATGCACAAGTACACGCACATAACAAGATGGATTATTGATGTATAGTAGCTATCTGAAGTATTGTTGCAATAATAAAAATTCAGTGCTTAATGGATTATGTAGAAAATACAGGGTGTCTGCAAAGTTGTGGTTTTCCTTTACACGACGTGTAGATCTTGAAAACAAGCAATTTTTCTTAGTACCATATACACCAATGTCTTAAGGGAACCGAGATAAAGGGCTCTGCAACATCAAAAATATCTGAATACCGTCCTGTAGCCGCGACATCCCCGAATGGTACTAGGACACTAGCTCAACCCGACGACAGAACTGGGTCGGGGTCAGTGTGTCAGGTGAGTATGCGACCTTCAACCGACGGTTACGGTCACACGTGTAGAGGTAATCGCGTAGACGAGAATCCCTCAACAAGCACTAGAGACGTGGCTAGAGAAGTGCAAGTATCAAAAACTAAAGTGTGGCAAACGCTGCGTGAAGAGGGGCTGCATCCGTTTCACATCCAACGTGTACAAGTTCTTCAACCTGACGATCTTCCAGCAACATGACAATAATCAGGACTTTTTGAAGTGCATATTGGCGACAGACGAATCTACGTTCACGCGTAATGGGGTGAATAACTTTCGCAACACTCATGTTTGGTCAGTAGAAAATCCGTACGCTGTCCGTCGGGCACATTTTCAACAAACATTTTCGGTGAATGTTTGGGCTGGCATGGTGAACGATATGCTCATTCACCCAAATCGATTGGACGGGATGCAATACCTAGACTTTTTACGCAACATTTTGGCTTCCTTGTTTGCCTGCGTCTGCTCGGTAGCGCATCAGCTGATTTCATTTCTGTTGGAGCGGTATGATTTCGGGCAGAGACGTACTTAGCCCTTCTCGTCAACTGGAGAGTGAGTACTTTTTCCTTTGTTTTTTTTTTTACTTGGTCGCCCTCGTTTCACTACACATTACCTTTGTTATTTCAAGGGTAGTTGTTTCTGAAAAGGATAACCCCAACTTTGCGGACACCCTGTATAACAGCTATACTTATACATGTGGCTCAAATACAACTTTTTTCATAAGTAATATCATGGGAGCATCTGATTTTTTTGTTGAAATATTGACGTATGGGTTTTAACTGTATTGTACGGTACATTTTTCTCAATCGCCAGGTCAATATTAGTCAAAGCATCACTTCCAAAGCGACTTATTTTCACTACATAAGCTGACTAGCACTGTTTAAAAACAATACAGGGTGGCGCATCGAAAACGAAACAGACGCATTTACTGGTAGCTCAGTTTTATGTTTTTTATGATGTACCTATTAAAGTCTACTTTAAGCTTTAAATCAATAAATCTTCAAAACTACTGAACTGATGTACATTAATTTTATATCATTATAAAAGGAATTGAAAGACCTTTAAAATAAGGTATCACTCGACCCCCCTTTCCATTTAAGATTTTGGGGGTGGTGTCACCCCCGCTTAGGGGGCTGCACGTGATATCGTGATTTTTTGCCAAACTTGTGTCCCCCACGAAAGCAAAATCGACGAGTCTGAGCGTTTTTCAAAAAAAAAACTGAGCTGCCAGTAAATGCGTCTGTTTCGTTTTCGATTACAAAATTTATTGACAATAAAATCAGAAAAATTGTTTACCATCGTTTTCTGGTGTCCTAGGAGACCCTAATTACGTGCTATGAAATGTATTGTAATTTTTTGTGACAACAGCTGTCAAGTTTTGCGCGTTTGTGATTGATATAAATCAAGACGAGAGGAATGGTCATAAAAATATCACTCCAATAATGCACCGAAGAATTACAGCTATGATCATTCAAATGAACAAACTAAGTAACAATGTATTCCTGCAGAATAGTTTTATTAAAAAGAAATGTATTTGTATCCATGTGATCATGATAATGAGGATTCACACACAACAAATTTGGTTAAAACCACTTACCTGAGGTAAATAGATCATGGAATATTGCGTGACTTGTATAAACTTTCTAACAAAAAATTAATTTATTGTCTACAGATGCTTCCGTGTTGTTGCAATACTTATATGGGGTTGTCCAAAATGGACGCAGGAAAGTAAACGCATATTAAAACAAGAAAGATTGATATTTAAATCAAGTTGGGTACTTTATTATGAAGGTTCATTTATACCATTTATGTATGAAAAATAATATCGCTCAAATGTTCACCACGACTGGATTTACAGACGTTCACGCGATGGTCGAAATTTTCAATGACATTTTGCAACATGGTCGGTTCTATGGCATTTATCTCGGCAATGATGTTGTTTTTGAGTTCTTGGAGGGTGGCTGGTTTGTTGACGTAGACTTTGCTTTTCAAATATCCCCATAAAAAGAAGTCCAAGGGAGTCAAATCGCACGATCTTGGTGGCCATGGCACATTTCCTCTGCGCGAAATCACGCGATCACCGAAGAAGGACTGCAATCGATGGATATTGACGTTGGTTGTGTGGCATGTTGCACCGTCTTGTTGGAAATAAACATCGTCCATATCCATTCCTTTAAGTTGCGGTAAAAAATAGTCCTCTATCATCACGTAATATCGCTCAGAATTGACGATAACGGCGTCCCCGGCCGCATTTTCGAAAAAGTAAGGTCCGATGATGCCTTTTGACCACAATGCACACCACACAGTCACTTTTTGAGGATGCATCGGCTGCTCTTGATACTCACGGGGATTTTCGTTCGCCCAGATGCGGCAGTTTTGCTTGTTTACCGTCCCATTCAAAGTGAAATGCGGTTCGTCGCTGAACATGATTTTTGATGAAAAATTGGCATCAATTTGGCGGTGTTTAAGGAGCCAATCTGAGAACGTTCGGCGCGAAAAATGGTCGGCCCGACGCAGCTCTTGCGTCAATTGGATCTTGTAGGCGTGTACATTCAAATCCTTGTGGAGAATGCGGAGCAAACTGGTTCTCGGATCGTCTCTCACACTCTCCTTCACAACAGCAATATTTTCCGGTGTGCGAACGCTCCTTGGCCGGCCAGAGCCTGGCAGATTTGCCACAGAACCTGTTGCCTCGAATTTACGCACCAGACGACCGATGGTTGTTTCGTTTGGGCGGTTGTTGCGACCGAAATGTTCACGAAGGGCGCGAAACGTTTTTTTTATTTTTGCACCATTTTTGTAGTGCTCTTGAATAACTTTAATGCGGTCTTCAATCGAATATGACTCCATAGCGATCAATGGTAAACATTCAACTAACAAAATGACATGTCGGTGACAGAAAACAAAGATGGCGTCTATGTCAAATTGACGTTTACTTTCCTGCGTCCCTATTGGACAACCCTTTATTTTTGTTCATGCAAAACAGCATCATATTTGCGAATCTAATCATGTGTTGTTTCATAAGTACTCAAGACAATGTTTTTAAGGGTACTATGTGAGTTACACCGACAAGTTTATACTTGGTGAATGAGTAACACATTGTGCCTGAGCACTACCCGTGTGTTGCCTACGAACAACGTCGAAATGACGCATTGCATGTGGCAGGTGAAAACATCGAACGGTTCAGCAAAGTGTTGGAATGAAACTCATTTTTACATTGGTTTCGCATGTGACATATTGTCGAATGCAAAGAGCCAATGACTTCCAGAAAAATGTGCGTTCTAAACTTTTTACCGGAATTTTATTTTTGTGATTTGTTTCATCGCTTAAAATAAATAATCATTCTGCCTTTCTCTACCCTTTTTCTCCTCGAATTGACGTAATTTTTTGAAAACAAAGACAGAACAGAATAGTTGACCATTCCAGGGAATAACCACTGCCAAACTATCCCTTTTGTTTGGGAAACACTGTGTAGAAATGAAGATATTGGGTTACAATATCCTCGTGGACATATTCACCTGTTAATTTCAGGAAGTGTATGATCTGTCACACTAATTCAATAAATTGGATACTTATGAATATTTTATCTACTCGAATATTATCGATAATTTGTCAATCAGAGCGGTTTAGAATAAAGCCAGTTTGTCTAGGGTGAAAGGTGTTCAGACTTGAAACAACGATATATGCAACGCTATAATTACTGAAGGTCGTTTAAAATTCAGCCATGAAAAGTGTCATAATAACATAGTCAATCTATAAAGTAAGAAGATAATTAATCCAAACACAGTATTGGAAATTTCAAGAAGATGAATACTGAAAAAATACTTTCTGGTATTTCTGGTTAAAGCCAAAAGTTTCCTCAATGCGACGAATTATTGTAGCCACTGATTTTTATTTGTTTAACACATTGATAGCCGCGTCAATAACTGGTGACTGACAGTGAACCTTTTTTTGTTTCTTCCCGTGCCCAAAATCTTGGGAATAAGAGTCAATTGTAATTCTTACGATTCATTGTTTGTTTACTTTATTTTTTTATCAAAAAGTGCTAAAAATTGGTAGAATATATACTAAGTGACATATAAATTCGAACACCCAGTTTAAATGGTTTTATTTTAATAAAAGTTGGTGAATGTATTTATCTTACTGTAAATAACAAGTAAAAAATTTTCAGCCTTATCAGTTGGACATTCCGGTTTTTATACTGCTTTTTTTTTAATTCACTAACGCTCTAAAAATGAATATTTCAGCCGCAGTAAAGAATCAACGTTGGCGGATTTTGGTTCTTGACATCCTTTATGATCGGTTACGATGCCTAGAGTACCTGTACGATTTCGTCAACTTAGTGAGTTTAATAGGGGCCGTATAGTGGGACTTCGGGAAGCTGGACTTCCTTTTCGGGCAATTGCAGTTAGAGTGCAAAGAAGTGTAGACACTGTGGTTAGGTGTTGTCAGGCATGGCTTCGAGAAGGCCGTACGCAAAGAACAAGGGGCACTGGACGCCGCCGTAAAACAACAGACCGTGAATATCGCCGCCTAAGATTATTGGCCTTAAGGGACCGTTTCTCCACTACCAGGTCCATTGCAAATGAATGGTTTGCAGAACACGGAAGACCTCTTGGCATGCGAAGTGTTTACCGACGAATGAGAAGTTTTGGCATGTTTTCATACCGGCCACACTGGGTCCTCCCTTTACTCGAGAACACCGACGTAATCGCCTTGAGTGGTGCAGACAACGGTCACCCTGGGATCAGGAATGGAACAGTATTGTCTTTAGTGACGGTAGTGAGGGTTTGAAGGCGACGTGGTGAAAGGAGGAATCTACAGTTTTTTGTTGAAAGATATGTTCATCACACTGTTGGAGTTATGGTTTGGGGTGCTATAGCTTATGGTTCCAGGTCACCTTTAATCTTCATCAGAGGTAACATGAACGCGCATCGTTATATCCACGAAGTTCTAGAACCCCATCTTTTACCCTATCTTGACACCCTGGCAGATCCAACTTTCCAACAAGATAATGCCCGACCACATGTTGCAAGAGTCACAATAGACTTCTTTCAACATAATGATGTCACATTGTTACCATGGCCACCAAGATCTCCTGACGTATCCCCAATTGAGCACGTGTGGGATATGATGGGTAGGAGATTGCTCAATTTGCAACGTCCTCCTCAGACTCTAGAAGCACTTCGAGAGGAGTTGGTGGTTGCCTGGAATGAGATAACACAGGAGGACATTGACCACCTGATCAGAAGCATGCCTAGGCGCGTTGGAGAATGCGTAGCAGACCAGGGTGCATCCACACATTATTAAAGGTCAAAGGGCTTTGAAGCAGTGCAATCATTTTGAAATTTTCATCATTTACTTATTATGCTTCATTAAGTACTTATACAAAATTTGATTAAAATAAAACCATTTAAACTGGGTGTTCGGATTTATATGTCACTTAGTATATATCTTTCACGATAAATCGGCTACCTCGTATCCATACGTTTTCTATAATAAAAAAATGGTCACAGAAAACGCGGTAAGCAATTAGTAAGCTATCATCAGCTGTCAGTACAAGACGTGTAATAGTTTAGGCATTTTAAAAATCAAGTTACACAGTATTTCAGAGTAAAATTTCATTTGTCAGTCTACATTCGATTACTGTGATTTATAAACGCATCCCAGGGCTACCACGTAACTACTTTCAACCTTTAGTTTAATAAATAAAATATGTATATGTTTGAGTTTCTTATTTTAGCATTCAATGTCTTCAAATACATCAAAAGATTTAGTTAGTTTTCAGCCTCCATAAGCTTGATCAACTACATACAACATTGTTTCATGCCTTTTAGCAATAATCAGTACAATATAGGACTAGGCTTGGAGAGCAGAAAAACAGGAAGCAAACTAACACATATAGTCTACTGAAGACTTCAGTCTGTAATGCATGTAAATTTTGTACTGCAGCGACCATAATCGACGATCTAATTTAACTGACCTGTAATCTATTCACCTCTAGCTACGTTTTTGTTCTGGCCCAAGACGTCGTGGTATCTGTAGTTTAACGCCATCTTCTTTCATCCCTTTTAATATATTAACAAATCAATTGACTGCACTATATAAATCACAGAAAAATATACATATCGCGCATGTAAATGAGTAGTAGGTATTGCCAAGAATTGGAGAGCTAAAAAGTGCACCTACCCAGGTTTGTACACGATTAGCAACCAGATAATGGGTTATGTAATATTAATTGTATTTTTTATTTATTAGTTGAACTGGTTTTAGTGTGACATATGTCATATATTATTTCTAATGTAAAGCAATACAATATTCTTTGCACCACATTCATGAAACTATAATTACTAATAATAGGAAAGTCATAAATTTGAACTTTGACGCCTTTTCAGATTGTGAACTTGTGTGACCTTGAGAGCGGTGGATACTGTAATCACACTGCAAACTTTTAGCTGCTGCCTTTATTCCTATTGGAATGTTTGTTACGAAAGTACACATTGATTTTCTTACTCTGTGAGTTTCTTCGGCATTGCGACGTTATAGTCAAACAAATTATATCGTATATTTTTGTCCTAATAAAACACATATGACACCTATGCCAGGATTGGCTCTTTGCCATCTGCATCTGATCCACTTCGTTATTTGTTCTCTTTCATCCTTCTATTCTTTCTCTATTTTGTTTTGAATTTGTCCGTTCTGATTATCGACAAGAATCAACCGAATTCGCAGCGATTCCTAAGCTTAAGAATCAATCAGTGGTAGCGTAAAACTAATTTCATATTTCCACTAGAATCTCACGACGTTTTCTAATTTTTATGCTCACAATGTGACGACCATCATCGCATATATCAATACGGATAGCCTAATGTAGCGACTTGTTTTGGAGATTCAAAAACAACCGAGCACCAGCAAAAACACTTTTTTCAATTAGCTAATTGGAAAATGGACTTTCTAATGACACGTTCCAAGTATTTCAATGCAGAAGTTACATCATCGGTTTTACATTTGCATGGGTAACTTGTACAATATACACAAGAAGCTAAATATGTATTTTCAAACGGTCTTTATGGCAAGTTCGTTGCTTTGTGGTATAATGTTGTTGGGCGTAAGCAGTACATGAACATTAATTCAGAATGCATAATTGGTTCTCAATAGCCTGTATGAAGGTGCGAATTATACAGTAGACGTTTTGAACTCCGATTTTCTCGGTACTGTATGTATCGAATAAATTATTTTCAAAGAGGCTTGTGTGTGTATTTGAAATAGCAACTGAAAGTTCAGAGAAAATGTTATGATTCTTTCTATTTTTGCTTCTCACGCCATCGATCTGTCTGTGTCTGCTCCTTTGGCTCCTCAAAAGGTACTATTTAAACATTGATGAAACTGTGACTGTGCTTTGTGGGTTTCAAAAATTCTTCTACTTGTAGTGAAGTTATGAATGCTACTGACGCCGATTTGGTAGGAGTTGCGGTGAAGTCATAAAGATTATTTAATAATAATAATAATATTTATTACCCTCATTAAACAGTATATACAAAGTTTACAACCCAAAAAAAGCCTTAAGAGTATAAAGGGCTACATCAGCTTACCCCTTAAAGAAGTAGCTGCTAGAGCAAACAAAAAACAAACAAATTTAAACAATTCTATAGTAAGACAAATGGCTATTAAGACATTGATAATTAATAATGTTTTATTTTTATTATATAACGAAGTATAGTAAGTAGAGAAATGGAAATTTAGGGTGAGAAGAGAAAGCGCGGGGAAAGAGAAGAAGAGAAAAGGGGGAGAAGGAGATGTGTTTTCTATGATATCTGAGACAGTAAATCACTTTTAAGGTTCCTCTTAAACGAAGCTACCGAGAGAGAAAAATCTGTAATTTTGAATTTATTTACCAAAAAGGCAATTTGATATTTATTTATTTATTTATTTCCAACAGGTGAAACCCAATTACAGGAAACGCTGAAAAAAAATAACAATTAAAGAGACATGGGTCCTGGACTTAAATCTATAGTATCACACATTCTAAATAAGATTGGATGATCTATAGCAGTTAATAATCGATGCACAACTGTCACTGTAAATATCACACGATTCAGTAACACTGCTCATGACGCTGCACATGAGATTAATTGGCGATTTTGTCATAACATTTGTACGGCGAGTTTGACAATAGAATGCCGTTTGTTGTCGACTCCCTAGCCTTGGAACGCGGAAACATATTTTTTCAAGTAAATTTTGACAGTCAATTTTATTGTGAATGAGGCCATACAAAAACGACAAAGCAAATATGTTTCGTCTTGTTGACAGTGAATCCAAATTGAAAAACTCTAATAGGGCACTATGGTGACAACCTCTTTCTGGATAAGAACCTGTGCATTTAAGGTGAAAATACTTTAAAGCTTTACGTTGAATGGCCTCAAGCATCACGACAGAATTTTGGTATATAGGAGACCAGATCAGAGTCGCATACTCCAACTTGCTCCTGACAAAAGTAAAAAATAAAGTCATTAATGTATCAACATTGGAGAAACTCTTTCAGTTTCTGATACAGAAACCAAGTAGTCGAGTGGCAGCCGACGAGATATTGAGAATATGCTCAGTAAACGTTAGCTTGGTATCAAAAATGACTCCAAGGTCTCTATAAGAGGTGCATCTGTCTATAACCTGACCATTGATGTTGTAATTATCATAAATTAAATAGTTAGCTTTTCTTGTATAAGTCATAACTTTACTTTTCGAAACATTCAGACTGGGACAGTTTCGTGAACACCATGACGAAATTAGAGCTAAGTCATCTTGCAACATGACGCAATCCTCGACTGTCTTGACTGACGTGCAGATTTTAAGGTCATCAGCGAAAAACAAATGGAAACACTTCAGTTCAAAAGACAAGTCATTAATAAATATTAAAAACAATAATGGACCCTTGAGGTACCCCAGACGTGGCCCGATAGTAACTCGACCTATGACCACCATATTCGACAAATAACCTTCTATCCCTCAAATACGAATTCATGAGTGACAGCGTTGCATCAGACATACCCACTGTTTTAAGCTTATCCAGAAGTGCATAATGATCAACTTGATCAAACGCCTTCTGAATATCTGTGTAGATGACATCAACTTGTCCCTGACCGTCCAGTACTTCAGAAATGTACTGAGTAATTAGAGCCAAGTTGGTGACCGTAGATCTGCCTCTCATTAACCCATGCTGATTAATAGAGACTGCACCCCTGACCGAGCAGTAAACCGTTCATAAGCAATGATCTCAAACAACTTGCTGAAATTGCACAGGATTGCTATTTATATCAGAGATATCTCCACTTTTGTGAATAGGACATATTTTAGATGTCTTCCAGATATTTGGATATGTCTCTGATTTTAGAATTAGGTTGAATCTGGAAGCCAGCGCTTTCGCTAGTATATGAATGCAATCTTTAACGAAAAAACTTGGAATACCATCACATCCAGATGTCATTTTGTTCTTTAATCTTTTCGAAGCCCTAATTACGTTCTCTTCACTTATATTTTTTAAAGAAATGATATCGGTAGAATTATTGTTGGAGGAGATGACCCTAGTAGACCAGACGGAATAAAAACTGTTGAAAAGAAGGTAGCAAAACTGTCCACTATATCCTGAGGCGTATCGCAGACATTGCCGTTAAGCGTCATCCTTGGGGGGATTCTACATAGATTGCTGTTTTTTGATCTGGGCAAATGACCAGAATTTGCTAGGATCATTGACAATGGCATCCTCAATCGATTGGACGTAAGCGGAGTAGGCAACACTGATCTGGTTCTTAATGAGCTTCCTAAAATTACTGAACTGATCATAAGAAAACTTAGTACCGTCACGTTTCCAGTTCCTTCTTGCTATGTCCTTCTTCTTGATATTAAGTATAATTTCACGTGTGAACAATGGGGGATACGAAAACATTTTATTTTTACATTTAGGGACATGCACCTCAAAGATGTTATTGATGATATGAGAATGATTTCTTAAATGATTCTTTATTGTGTGATGGTATTGTAATCAAATTCATTCTTCTAATGTTCAGATTATGTACATCAGGCCGGTAACTAATTTTTAAGTGAAGATAAGGAGGGCTTTTATATTTTATAATCTTGTAAAAAAAGGAAGTAGAGTGCAAGGTACGCCTCTGAGCCATATTCAACAATCCCAGTTCAGGTAGTTTGTGGGATACTCTTTGTCTACCCCTTATACCAAATATCAATCTCAGACAAGAATTCTGAGATTTTGAACCCGTTTTAGTTTCACACTATCAAGAAATGGGCCATATACCATATCAGCAAAGTTGAAGTGGGACAACACTAAAGCTTCGCAGTGCGTGGCTTTAGTATTTTGTGATAGGTAATGTCTATGGGGGTAAATTATTTTTAACATTGAATATGCTTTTCTTAGGCACAGAGTAATGTGCTCTCTAAACTTAAGTTTAGAGTCAACCACTAAGCCCATATCCTTCGCGGAATCTCTAAATGATACTATATTGTCCCCTAGTTTGAGCTTAATATTATTTTCTAATACGTTTCTGCAGGAATCACTACAAAACAATATAGCCGTCGATTTACTAGGGTTTATCTTTAACAAGTGATCTTCAGAGGTTTTGAGAAGGCTATTCAAGTCGGTATTCAGTCGGTTTGTTATAAGTTCTGACAGATTAGGTTTAAAAGAGGCATAAATTTGAGTGTCGTCAGCATAAAAATGATATTGACAATAACTCAGCGACTTCGTGAAATTAAAAGTATATAGGCTATACAATAATGGACCCAAAATACTGCCCTGGGGCACCCCTGATGTAATTGTAGCTGGATCTGATATGCATCCTTTCAGATAAAAAAGAATTTATTAATGCATAGGCCGGCTGCTCTAATCCAATATATTTCAAAATAGCCACTAGTATCTCATGATTAATCATGTCAAATGCTTTCGTGTAGTCCAATAACACCAAGACAGTAGCATTTCCCGCATCCTGTTCTCTGATGACATCATCCACAAGATCTGTTAATGCTGTGAAACAACTGTACCCGGTTCTAAACCCTGACTGTCTAGGGGGATGATATTGTTGGCAAAAACGTAGTTAGCAACTTGTATAGCGATTGCCTTTTCCAAAAGTTTAGAAAGGGTCGGTAAAAGCGAGATTGAACGTAGTTGACCAAATTCTGTCGGATTGTTAACCTTAGCTAATGGAAGAACATTGGCTAGTCCAGCTTTTAGGAAAATAAGACCATTTAATACAACTATTTATA